GATGGCGAGGTGGTAACACACACCTATAGTCCCCAACAGTTTGGGAACATAAACTAGGAAGTTCTCAGTTTGAGGAAGGCCTGAGCTGCACAGTGAGCCTGTCTCTAAAATAAAATAGTAAAACAAAAACAAAAAACACATGTAAACAATAAAAACACCAAGTATGATGGTACAAGCCTATAATCTGAATTTGGGGGGCACTGGAGCAGAAAAATTACTGAGAGTTAATGGGCTTGCACATGGGCTACATGTGCAAGCTTCAGGTCACCAAGGTCTAGATAGCAAAACTATCTCAAACCCCTCAAAATACTAACTTATTCATTGTATGAGGTTTATTATGAGTTTTTCTTTTACTTATGCATAAATATTTAGAACCACATGTAGCTGAGCATAGTGGCTTGGGTCTGTAATCCTGGCACTTGAGAGGCAGAGGTGATAGGAGGGTCATCACAAACTCACAGCCACGATCACCTACATGGCAAGTTCTAGTTCCCTGGCTACATAGAGAGGCCCTATCTCAAAGAGATAAGGGGACAGGGATATAATTGAAGCTTTATATTCTTCCTCATTCTTTGTTGCTGTTTCAAAAATTACTGGAAACTGGGAAATGGATTTTTTCAAAAGACATTGTTCCCTTGCATTTCTTATATATCTTATTAAAGGTTTAAATCCCCAATTTACCCTACCTATAAAAACATTATCCAAAACTGTTTTCTAGCCTTCCAGACATCTTATGTATGAGACACGGTAGTTAATGAACATTTGTTTAGGATAACAGGCCTGTCCCATTGGAATCGTTTTACTTCTTGTAAATAAACACACTAAAAACTTTTTTTCCCCAGATGGACTGAGCTGTGTTCAATGATTGAGCCCAGGAAGAATCATGGACTGGTGTTTGTAAAGGACAAGATATTTGCTGTGGGCGGCCAGAATGGTTTAGGTATATGATGTTAACTCACTCTTCAACTTCAAGTTCTTGAATTACTGGAGCATTTCCTAAAATTGAATCATTGCTATACAGAGCACTAAGTCTTAGCTCTGACATGTGCTAATGAAATGTCAAGCAGTCATTGTACCATCTCAAACAAGCTGGTCCTTTCCATATGCTCAGGGCCGCTTTCCCATCTGCCTAAGGAGTACTCAACAGTTGAGAAATGTGAATGTTAAAAAAAATCCTTACTAGCTTTTCAACATTTTAAACACTACATGAAAGTATCTTTTTACTCTTTGATCTTTCTATCTTCTTAAGTAATGCCAATAATGATTTAGAAATGTGAACTGAATCTAGAGATAGTATTTCATTTTATCAGCTTATCTTATATGTTAAGTAAAACAAAGAAATAATTTCTCTTACCCACTGGTACTCTCCATAAAATGTTAATAGAAAGAAGAATATTTGGAATAATTTATAATCAAAGCAAATGAGAAAGCAAATCTCTGGTACTTTTTCATTTTCTTTTCCAGGATAGAACATTTGTAGGAAATGCTTCTTTTTTTGTTTTCCTTTTCACCCTTTAACTTTTAACTTTGTAGGAAAAAAATGATTATGAAAGTTAACTATGGAGAGATCCAAGAGCAATTGATTCAGTTCTCATACTTTGTTCTTTTGAAGGTGGTCTGGACAATGTGGAATATTACGACATTAAATTAAATGAGTGGAAGATGGTGTCCCCGATGCCGTGGAGGGGTGTAACGGTGAAGTGTGCAGCAGTTGGCTCTATCATCTATGTGCTGGCAGGTTTTCAAGGTGTAGGTAGATTAGGGCACATCCTTGAATATAACACAGAAACGGACAAATGGATTGCCAATTCCAAAGTCCGTGCTTTCCCAGTCACAAGTTGTCTAATTTGTGTTGTTGATACTTGTGGAGCAAATGAAGAGACCCTTGAAACATGATTGAGTGGACCTGACTCATCTGAGACTCAAAAATCTGGCCACCAATGGTTTGTTCCATTAGTTTGGTTGTGAAGTTCTGGTCTGGTATTTTGATAAGTAAGATTCCAATAAAATACAAGTTTATTTCATCTGGATTTGATTACTTATTTTAATTACCATATTTTAGCTGGCCATATAACCAAGAAGCTATCAGCCAGAAAACTTGAAAGTTATAAGCATTTCTTGAAAATAAGATTTTCAAATGTAGCCGGGCGTTGGTGGCGCACGCCTTTAATCCCAGCACTTGGGAGGCAGAGGCAGGTGGATCTCTGTGAGTTCCGGGCCAGCCTGGTCTACAGAGCAAGTTCCAGGACAGCCTCCAAAACAATACAGAGAAACCCTGTCTCGAAAAACCAAAAGAAAAATTCTGTTTGGTCAACACTAAGTAGTAGTATGGATTATATTTCAAGATGGCAAAGTCTGATAAAGTAACTGTATGTAGTATTACGTATTTTGCTTGTCTTCATTTATTTCACTTAGTGCCAAACTATTCCATTCTAAAGTAAACAAGAACAGCTCAAGGGGTACATTTTTTTTCACACATTTGGGGATTTAACACCATATCAAATTATTCATGGAATATATTCAGTCCAATTAAATGAAATAGTCCATATTTTCATGTAGAATATTCTTAGCACTCATCATTAATTTATTTAGTTTTCCTCAGCAATGTAAAAAGTTCTCTGCACGATCAGTCCTTATTGTGAAAGCCAATCAGAATACAGTGGTTAGCCACATATCCTAGTAAGAATGTGCCTCCTCCCCATGCCTATTGTACACAATGTCCAAAGCCAGGATGGTGGGTAAAAGTAAACCGGATTCAAATTACTTATGTACAAATTACTTTGTATAAGAAGTCTTATTTCATTACTTTACTGCAAAGTACTCTGCTTCCATTTCAGTAGATCCTGGGTTTATTGGTGTTCTGTCTTTGGAAGTGGCCTATTTTGATAATATATGATTAAGTTTTCAAAAATTACAATTTGAATATGAATGTTTAGTAGCCAAAAATTGTTATATAACTATAAACAGTAATTGTGGCTTTGTGGTCTAGTTTTTAAAACCTGACAATGTCATGAAAACTTTTGAGTCATTAACTTTTAATATGCCCTTATCAAAATAAAATGTACCACTTAATAAAGTTATTCAACTGAGCCTATATTCTTTTTTGCCTTGTGTGTATTAGGGGAAAAAGCTTACTGTATTTACCAAGGGAAAGGAGATATTTGGGGGGGCACTTTAAGACTGATAATCTTAGCCTATACCAAAGATTTAAGAAAATCCAATTTACTCCATCCAATGTGACACCAAACCAGTTCTCACTAAAACCTCAGTAAACTGGTAACATGAAAGGGTAATTCATGGTTTGCAGCATTTAACAACACTTGACTGATCCTTTTTAATACCTTAAGTTTCCTCTAAAGATTTTTAAGATTTCACTTTGATCTTCCTAGTCTCCCTCCTTTTAAACATAAACTAATTGGGGGGGGGCAGAGATTAAAAGTAGTTTGAAGCAGGTGGTAGTTCACACCCTGGGAGGTTAAGGCAGGAGGATGACTTTGAGACCAGCCTGGGTTACACCTACATGGAGAACTGTGTAGAATGTGTTCCTACTCTTCCTATTTCTGTGACAAAACCTGACAAAAGCAACCTCAGGAAATGGGTTGACCCTAGCTCACAGTTTAAGGATACAGGCCATCACTGGAAAGGGTTTCAGCAAGAACATTAAGCAGCTGGTCACTTTGCTTTTGCAGTCTGGAAGCAGCAATAGATGCTCAACTTGAATATGTCTTTTTATATATGCCATCAATGGTGCAGCCCACACTCCCAGTGTCTTCTCCTCAGTAAAACGTTACTGGAAGCATCCTCAAAGACATGCCCAGAGGTAAATCTGTGGGGATTTTAAATATAACATCTTGGAAGTCCAGAGATGTGTGTCTATGGTGATACTAAATGTAATCAACTCGACAAGATTAACCATCACAAGTGTTACGCTTACTGATTAGAATTTTGCTTGACATCTTTCCATCCTCTGGCATAACTAAGATGTAAAATGAGACTAAAGATGTACTTAGGAGTCCCTGAGCTGTCTCCAACTCAGTTTGTCCCCACTATCCAATTTTAATTTCCAAGAGCACTTCCATTTTTCTTTAAGAAGGAGCAAGCTACCACCACACTTTACCTCGGCATCTCAGCTTCTCTCCCTGCTACATCTTGTTTCTGTCCAGCTATCTCATTTCCTGTCTGTCTGTACAGACCTCCAGACCTCTATGGTTAGCTAGTGACAAGCTCCAGTCTCTGACCTTCAGAAAGGCTTTATTTGTACAAGCAAGCTATCACCACACTTATATAGTATACTTATACAGGATCCTGTTTGAGAACTGCGAATACATGGAATGTGCCGTGTGTGTGTGTGTGTGTGTGTGTGTGTGTGTGTGTGTGTGTGTGTGTGTGTGTGTGTGT